CCAAAAGTGTGTTTATTATATTCATCAATAAAAACACGACTCAACAAAAAATAAGAAAAAACAATAACAAAAGCAAGAACAAGCAACGGCTTCATCCATCTGTGCATGAAGACAATGCACATAGAAAATTATCTGAGAGCAAGCTGTGTTATAATATGGGGTTTCAAAGGGCTCTGCTGCACCATCTTTTCAAAATTCAAGCAACCTATTTACAGCTTACCTTTTTTATAATTTGTAGTCATACATGTATAATTGTTTAGAGTATTTATTAAAAATTTACTTTTTTCAATTTGTAGCTCAAGAACAGTGCAGAGAATATTACACAGGTGTAATCGCCGTCGTAACAATCCAACAGAAGAGGTCTGTGACCTGTTTTTGACATGTTTAGAGGTAAACTTACAATTCTTTGTTCTACCAGACATGAACTTTGTTACTCGTGGAAAATGTTCTTCGCTACAAGGGGTTTCATATAATTTTCAAGTATATTGTTTCATGTTCGATACAAACTGAATGCTTTAGTTTTGTTTCATTTTGTTCCTTGTGCTACCAACTGGATATTAGTTTTGTGACACCTTTATCACCTTATCATAGTTTTTTGTATGGCATTTGCATTGTTTTGGTGTGATGCATTAAAAGGCTCTGCTCATATTGTAATTTTTCAGATGGAGATGATGAGCAGTGGCCTCAACCTTGGCTGCCGTTCTATGAGCAGGATGCTAACACGTTATGGAATACATGTTCCAAGGTGGCTGTGTTGACAAGACAGCAATGAAAATACACAGTAATTGTTATGTGGGCCATTCTGTAAATCCAGGGTTCAAAAGTATAGCATATTGGTTGTGTCCCTGTCACACCTGACGTGTGTACTTTGACATAGAAATATCACTGTAATTGTTTCCAATCTATGTCAGTTTGTTTGGCAGGTACTTTGCATTCATTTTTCAATCTTGGAACTCTTAAGGCCATTTCACAATCATACATGTATGAGGATTGAAAACTGACTCCCACATTAGAGAATGAGCCATGAAATCATCTCAAGGTGATTATTTCTAGTTAGCTGCTTGTAGTTACTTCATTTACATTTGTAACTTCAAACATTTAAGCAAAACTGCACTTGGTGCAAAAATTACAGACATTGTGTTGTCATGTTTATCCATAGTGTAACTTATGTTCAAACTGCTGTAGCATTCAAGGCCAGAAAATGAAATGTACCTTATGCCTATCCTTGTTACTACTGTGACAGAGATGTAGTTCTTGAAGGACAAAGGCTACTAGACCCTGAAGGATTAAACATGCGAAGAAGGCATAGACTGAGAAGGCGTGTCTACAACAGTCATGGGCCCAATTATGGCATTCATGTTGATCAGCATGACAAACTCAGACAGTATGGTTTCTGTATACACGGTGCCATAGATGGGTAAGGAGTTTAATGAAACATTTTGGCCTGTGTTTAATGTCCCTGTTTACCAATGCTGGATGCATAATTTGCTAAAATAATCTTATATCCCACAGGAAAACTGCAGTATTTGATTTGCATATTGGGTTTATCTTGCATAGTGGAAGTAATAACTGCATGAATGATTTAATACAAATTGTTGTACTGTGGGACAGCAGCTGGCAGTTTTGATTCATTTCTTCATTTTGATTTTCAAGCTGCTATGAAGTGAAAGGAAAACAATTTCAGAAAACTGTCAGTGTCTATTTACACTTAACACATGCACACAACTTTTTAACTGCAGCTTTTCTCGTCGAATACTTTGGTTGAGAGTAGAGTCATTCCACCAGGTTGGGACACAGTGTTTGACATCAATGTCAAATTTTGAAAATGGTTGTGAGATTAAACTTTAACAATTTTTATGAGTGGAAAGTACTGAAGTTTCTTAATGTAAACAATTTTTTGCAAAATTATTCCTGAAATAATACTGGCAGTTGACGGAGAGTAGGGTTCATAGAAAAAGTGCAGACGTAACATGGACACGAAATCTGATCAATCACCCCCTGCTGTTTACCTTGTTTTTTCTGGCTTTGTTTCTTTCTTTCTAACTAAATAATACCATTTGATGAGGTTTTTCCACAGGTGTAATCTTTTTTGAGTTGGGCGATAGGAAAAGGTAAGTATGGGGAGTAATAAATCTGGTAATTTGGTTAATTTTTAATACAAAACTAATTTTGTTCATGTTTTTGTTTCTAACAATGCCACATAAAGCAAATATGTCATGCAAAAGTATTACAATGATCAAGTTTAGCCCACTTTACAACTATGTGGTGATTGAAACTCCTCTGTGTATCTTAATATTAAAATTCTCTCATTCGAAACCAAGCAGTGCAGACGTTACATATTAAAGTTGGACACGGTGTCCTTGTTACGTCTACACTTAATGATTTGTTAACTATTGTTCAGCCAACACTATTTAACTGTTGTGGATGACAAAACACTAGATACAGTTAACAGGCCTCATTTGTCCTTTTGGGTGAAAGGCAATTTTACTTTTGGTGTTTTATAAGCATTTGGGGGGGGGGTGTCTACCGAATTACATGTACATGTAGGTTAGGTTTTGCCAGGAAGAAACGTAAATTATAAAAAGAAAGACATTCACCGATTTTTTTTTTTAATCATCTTTGTGTTCTTTTTTGAACTAATCCAATGCCAACGTTTTTCTAAGGCCGATAAAAGTTGATTTCATAGAATGGGCCCTTTGATTTATATTGTGCACTACACCCATCAGAGAAGCGGATCACCTTGGTTAACTCTTGCTGTCGTTGTCGGACTTCCTTGATTGCAATTGAAGTAAATGCATGAACGGCATGGTAATCATGATTCAGGTCGTCAGAGATTATTGCTATAGAGTGCATGATGGGCTTGGTGCAAGTGGGGTTGTTGCAGTTGTAGTAGGTGATGATCGGATGGACTGTTACCTGGTCTTGGGTCCAGTGCGCAGCCTGCACCTCATCCTGAGTTTTGCATGCGTAATTTTCAGCAAAATCTAATACCATGACACACCAGCCCTTGGGAAGTTTCTGTGACGTAAGCTTTGAAAATTGATTTTGCTGCCATGATTTGCAAAACAGGTGCTCTGGTATGGTGTGTAATTCTTTTTCAAGTTCTTTGAGCAGCTCTGCAGTAGTACCATGCTGTAGCTGACGTACCTTTTTAGTCAACAACATCTTTCCTTTCTTAGTTATCTTTTCCTCCTTTACCTTCATCCACTTGGACCACTCGACTTCCTTCCTGGTATCTAACCCCTCAAAGTGTTCCCTCATCTTTGTCACCCCACAGTGCTGACACTTTCTTTCTATGCATGCCTTGTTGTTATATTTTTGATCTTTTCCTTTCTGGCACAAGGTGATGCTTGATAACTCTTCCAAAGTCATTTTTGACTTCACTGCTTTTAGTTTAAGCTTCACATTTTCACAATAGTCGCATAAGCAACCCCGGAATTTGATGCTCCCAACAGTTTTTATGTACTTGGGGCGAAGCTTGTAGAATGTTGACTTCCCAACCTTCTCATTGGGATGATCATTCTTGAACTGTTTGTAGAGGTTGGGGATTGGCATTTCCAGGACTCTTGTTTTCTGTAGTGTTTTTTTGCTTATTGTCTTCTGGTCAGGCAGTTCCACAGAGTTTTGTTTGTAGTAGTTTACAACAAGGTCTTTGGTATCTTGCATCAATGTGGCTGCATTTGTGTACTTTGGCACATGTGTAGTCTCCTTGGCAAGTTTTGGTGAAACACCAAACAGTCTGCACCCTAGTCGCTGAAGTTTATATTTCTTAAGGCATCCCAAAGTGGCAGCAAGCTCCCGACGCTTTCTTCTATCCAGTTCCTTGTGTGCATTCTTTAACTTGTTTAGCTGTTTCTTCAGACTTTCCGACACAATGACAGCTGTTTTAGCAAGATTTGATGACAGAGTGTGAGCTGTGCTTGGATCACATGGAAGTGACTGCAGAGTTTGCCTTTTCTTAGATGATGCTTTATTGTACAAGTCCTGAACTGTCTGTGCATATATAATTGGATTCTTTGACAGTGAAGCTTTGGCTCTAGAGTATGCTTTTCTTCTTGGTGCTGCTGGACGCCTGGAACCTTCTGTTGAGTTAAATTCTTCAGCTATCATTCTTTCCAACTCTTCTCGTTCTCTTTTCTCAAGATCCTTTTTCTTCTGTTCTTCGATTTTTTTTTTCTCCTCATCTTCACGCATCTGGCTTCGGATTTTTAGCAGCAACTCCCTTTCTTCTCTTGCTTTCTCTCTTCTTTGGGCCTTGATCTCCTCCTTTCGTTCAGCACTCAATTCAGCTCGCCATGTTTTTTTGTAGTCTTTCCAGTACTTTCTTTGTGCTACTTTCTTTGCTGTCTGTGCTCTTGTTAATTTCTCTTCATGTCTACCCCTCGAAGCTGCTGACATCTTTGCTGCGAGTTGTGTCTGTTTTTTTCTTGCTCTCATTTTTGCCATTCGCTCAGTGGATTTCTTGTTTGAATCTTTCCTTTGTTCATCTGTCATATTCAATCTAGTGATTTTCTTATTGAGTGCATCCTGTTTCAAAAGTTGCGTGTACAATTCAGGTTTGTCAAGTTTGAGCTTCTGTCAGTAACTTAGTGTTTTGCTTGTTTTGGCTTTGTTTGTAGCCAGTACTGTAGCTTCTTTTGTAGCTGATGGTGCTCTCTGCTTTGTTGTTTTGTCATTTTTGGTAGCTGGTGCTTTACGCTTTACTCGTTTGTTTTTTTTTGTAGCAGCCACTTGTTTTCCAGCTTCAGCAGCATGTTTACTTGATGCAATCTTGCTGCATGGCAGTCTGATCCTAAGTCTAAGCGATGGTGGGCCCATGACTGTATCACCTAGGAAGAAGTGAAAAAAAATGGCAAAATAAATGTTTAAAATGTGCAAACAAGATTTGTGTTTGAGTTGCAAACTTTGAGTCTGAATTACAGATGTAGAGTCTGAACCGCAAGTCATACGCGTCAAGTTCAAGTCCTTGTTAAAAGACATTAAAAAAGCTCATGTTAAAAAAATTGTGGGGGTTGAACACAGGTTAAGTACCGGTAGGTCATTTATTATTCTTGAAAGAGATTTAACTGAAAGACAAAATCAAATTAAAACCCTAAAATCCCATGATACAAAATTCTTGCTTCAATGAAAACAACTTGGCCCTGTATTTGAATTACATGTCGAAAGAAAATTGAAGTCAATAAATTGAAATAACTGAAGTTGGGTGTTAATCAAAGTGTGTAGACAAGACATGACATCATGTCCATGTTATGTCTGCAACTCGATTTGAACAAAATCAAACAGTTAAAAAAGTTCTGTAAATCACTGAAGAAATGAAACTCTTTCTGTATAAAATAAATATCTAATGTTCATTTTTTATTTTGAAGTTTCCATCATAACTGTATAATTTTAACTTGAAAAACATGTTGACAAAACATGGACACAGTGTCCTTGTTACATCTTAGACTCTTAGGTGGTTCGAAATCAGACATTTAAAAAAAAAGTTCTGTAGGCTTGTATCTTTGTGTATAAAAATATTCAGTGTTCACTTGTTATTTTGATACAGAGCCCGTAAAGGGACTAGAGAAAATTATTTTTTCTGGGCCCAACATCTTCCAAAATAAAAATGTACATTTATCTCCCGTGCGCACAAGATAATTGAGGAAGTTTTTTTCAACCTTTCGAAAAACAAAAGTAATCTTCACCGATTATCTTGTGCGGACGAGATAATGAAGCAAGATAAATGATAAATGAGAACGAGATAAATGAAGACTTTTTATTTTCGAAAGGTTGAAAAAAATTTCCTCCCAATTATCTTGAACATGAACATGTGTCCATGTTACGTATACAACTACATGTACATGTAGGTGGTACAAAATCAGTTTTAAAAAAATAGTTCCATGATATAGGGCCTATTTCAGTTCAACCCCCCCCCTTTCTATTTTTTTATTGCAATCACAGAATGTTTCACTTGCAAAATGTTTCGCATGGAACATGTGTCCATGATATGTCTGCATGTTGTAGGCCTATGCATATGTACCGGTACGTGTGTACATGTACATGTACTTGTAGGCCTAGGGCCTACATGTAGCCAGTATGAAGTCAAATAGTTTCACCATAAAGTACACCTCGGCCTAGGACCTATGTGTAAACGCCTGATTTTGAAATCTTCATCACAATACTGGGTCAGTTTCTGGAAAGCCCAATTACAAACGTGTTTACAAATCACGATGATGTAACTATGACAACGGGTCCAGCTCCGTGTTGTTACATCGAACCGCGATCGAACACAAAAAAAACCACGTTGGTAGTCATCTTTTTATCAAAATTATGCAAAAATTTCACAAAGTCATGTTTCATCTCCGGTGACCCACCAGTTATTGAAGGGTTTCACTAATATTTTTTGAGTGTTTAACTTTACAAAGGTAGCTTTGTTTGATAACTTCCCATTATATTTCTGGAAATAAGAATGATTGGAAACCTGTATTATTAAATGTCACACTTTCCATCAAATTCTGTTTGGGATTTGAAGTATGATAGTATAGATTATGTATACTAATCATTCACTGGATTTTTTTTACAGCTTGGAAAATCTCTACCTCTATTTTTACCAATAAGAAACAAGTGGATTTTCATAACAGAAGACAATTTTCAAAAGAATGAAACAAAAAATAAACCCAATCCCTGTGTACCCCAACCTGGTGGAATGACCCAGTAGCGAACACCAATAGAGACCCTGCAGTGACAGCATCATACTTCACTGATTTTGTGAAGGAAATTCAAGGTACAGATTTTTCCTTTGTCATATTTAGAATATTACTCCCACCTCTGGTGAGAATAAAAACTTATTTTAAAAACTTAATAAGAATAAAGAACCAGGTTTGCTGGTCACATTTTCCCCAGGTGTTCCCCGCTGTGTGCAAATGGATTGGGGCACAGAGAATACGCTGATTGAGGATATCCAAACTGCTTTTCATGAAGTGTATGGAAACCACCAGCAGCAAAGTCCATGTGTGATACACTCTGTGTCTCCTCACAATCAAGTACGTTTCACTTATTTAATTATTCTTAACTGATAGATCATTGAGCTTGGAGTTTTTGATGGGGAGTGATAGTTGTAGCCATTTTCTCCATTGAGTAGGAGTCCAAATATTGATGCAATTTCACAACCCCAAGTCTCTGTAGAATGTATTTTGCTGTAGTTTTAAAGTAAATGGCTTGCCTTGTAGATATGACTAGATCTGTGATTAACTTTTCAAACATTTCTATCCGCTATTTCCATGAAGAGAATGGAGCGTTTCTGGAGAACATTGTTTGATATGATGACCAACTTCTGGATGGACCGTTTGGGAGGATTGGTTCATGATGGTGTCTTGGACTGCTCCTCACCATTCCATGTGTGAGTATTTTTGGTACATTTTTTTACAGTATGACCTTTTTTATCAGTGTAATTATGCTGTATACATGTAGTATTAAACCACAGGGTTTTATGTTTAGCAGTAAATTTGTTTGGATATTGCCTTACATTTGTTGACGAAAAGGCTGACTTGGTATTTTTGCACCACTAATAAACAAAAAACTCACTCTAACAGCTTGTATAGATAATCAAAAAATTAGATGGCCTGACATTTTGATCCCAACAGGTTAGAATCTGGCAGGGAGGGGGGCAACAAACAAACAAGATAACAATTAAACAAAAGGTAAAACAAAATCGAAGAAAGAGGGAGAGAAGGAGAAAGAAAATTTTTTCTCTTAAATTAATTCTGCAAAACTTATTAGTGAGACTGGAAATGCAGCAGTTGGAACCCCGCATCTCGCTGAAGCAAGCAGGTACTCCCTGGAATTGGAACAGGACAAAAACATTAGGCACAACAAAATTGAAAAAATGAAGTAAACAAAGCAAAGGGAGACCTGTTGTTTTGCCTTTGATTTGGATCCGAGTGCATGTACATGTATTTTGTACTAGGATTTTTGCTGTTTATTTTCGGTCAGACTACCCAATTGGGTTTGTTACTGGGCATCCAGTGTCCACCGCTGTTGCATTACACACTGATGTAAGTCACCTGTGTCAGGCTGGCTTCCTGACCCATGTTGACTCATTTGCCATTCACACCCTTTGTCCCTCAATTCCCCTCAATTCCCTCTTTCCTTTGTCCTCTATCTCCACTCTGTCTTTCCCAGCTTTTTATAGGGATGGTTAACCCCCACCTGCTGTAGGTATGTACACTGTATATACACTGCTGTCCCCAGTCACTTTGCCTTCGATAACGATTCTGCTAGGATCAAAATGTCAGGCCTTCTAATTTTTTCATTATGAAATTTTGGTCTCATTCACCAGCAAGCAGTTTGCAAGAGCTTGTTTTTCAGCTTGTATAGATATGATAGCATATAGCAAATTCGAAATAAATCACTCTAGGATTGTGTATCATTTCCAAAACCCTGACAGGGAATGCTTGAGATTCTGCTTTATGCCATTGATACAAGCTGAACTTGATGAAGTTCGTATGGAATGGAACCAGCATAGACCACGGACCATTACTAACACAGATGCTCTACAAGGGCAGGCGGATTTGATGTATTTTGTGCCAGAGATTTTTGGTATGTATATCACATCTCATTTTCACTGCATTTATTGTTGAAAAATTATTTCACTATTGCCAAGTTGCATCAGATGCCAGCTTGTGTAAACCAATTTTTTCCTATCAAAAACACTCCAGAATAAAAAAAAAGGGACAGGGCTTGATCTTTCAAAATGTTAAGCCCTTTTTTATGTTGCAGTTTAGGTCTTATTCACCAGCAGGCACTTTGCAACAGTATTTCAAAAAACATTCCTGACAAAAATCTGAACTTGTTGCTCAAAGTTTTTTATGTGATTAATTTCATAATTACCATGTGGTTGCTTTCATACATGCTAACATCCCATCAGTTGTGTCCCAAAATACTGAAGAAGTGAATTTCATAATTTGATTGCATTAATCACTGTTGTGTCCTCTGCAGAGGGACTCGCTAAAGGATATATGTGTAAATTTTAGTAATTGAATTTCATGTGCTTTTGTTTTGATAGGAGCTCGTGATTTCCGGATTCCAGTTCCAATGTGTGAAATCACTACTACAAAGGAGGAGTTCACCACTGCGCCAAGATCAAGTGGATGCTCTGTTGAGTTTGAAGGATCATGCCAGGATATTCTTCTCGTCCACAACAAGAGGATTCCTTCTTCATTTGAGGAAGGTGCAGAATTGTTCAGATTGCTATTGAATGCACTGCAGCCATAAAATGTGTGAATCTGTCTTTAAGCAGTCAATTTCAAGTAAATGAAAAGAAAATCAAAGAAATGAAAATTAATCACATGATATACCTTACACTTCCAACAGGTGTCTTGTCCATTTATGTTCTATAGAATGGTAAAGGATACTCTGATGACAAGATACTGATTACTAATACATGAAATTTTTGACTAATTGCACCCACTAGTGGACAGCCATGGAAAATTTTATATGCTCTTAAATGAACACATGCTTTGCTCCTCAAAGACCATTTGGAATAGCTTAAATATGAATGATTACTATATCGATGGTGTTGCCCTTCTTAACCAAGACAGTGTTAGTCTTTAGTATTGCATTAAAAAGTTGTTTCAGATTTTTTCAAAAAATAGAGAAGTGCAATAAATCATTTTAATAAGAGCGATTACAGTCATATCATTTCATCATTCACTAAGATCAGGCTTTTCAGCATATTCTTTTCAAGTCTCGTTTGATGTGAAATGCAGATTCAAGGGTCAGTTTGTAGCTTTGTTCATTTTTTTTTAATTCAGTAGGTTGATGTTAACTGTCTGGACTGTACTATGACATCTACATGTACCTGCTCTGTTTATTTCACATACATTTTTGTGAAGATCATGGAGTGTAAAGTACATGTGATGAATAAAAATAGACTGTGAAAACACAACCATGAAGGGAGAAATATGCCCAAAACCTTTATTAAACACATGAACACAAAATTTTGGAAAGGTATAAAAATGTGAAAAACACATGAATAGACAAGTGTAGTATTTAACTGCTTCAAAAATAAAGGAACTGCAACCTCAATAAAGATAAAAGTCCAGCTAAATGAACAGCAATGTCAAAACTGACCCCCTCATATTAAGCACTTTATCTCTACATTACAATATGCCTCCAGTCCTCCCAACCCCAGTCCTCCCAACCCCAGTAGCAATTTCAGAATGTTTGTTAAGATACTGGTGACTGTTGATCAGCTCAAGAATGTTCACTGGTGGCCTAGTCAAAAGGGTTTGTGGTTTATGAGCCAAAACACATTGTTAATGTGAATTGCCAACTTCACCATCTCACAGCATTTACTATTCAAATGTGATAAAAAATGAAATAAAAAAGTCCTGTGCTTAGTTCAGCTTACTTTTTAGCTATGTTTTCAAATCCAATTCCATAAAAGATTTCCATAATCTGTAAATGTATGTTTTTAGCCTGAAAATTTTAAATTTCAAAAAAAATATCCGTCACTCCTCCACTGACCCCAAATATGAAACATGAGTACTGCAGCTGTTCCCAGTATTAATAGTTTCCTACACACTCTTCAAAACTGCAGAGTGGAATAAACTTTGTGTTTCACAGAACTGTTACAAAGAAGTTTTGCTTAATGAGATAGCGAGGACTGCAGTTGCTACATACCAGATCTACTGACGAGGAGACTCATCTGATTTTTCTTCTATTTCCAAATTGGACAAAATGTGTATCAATTAACTGTTACATGATTGATTGACTTCTTAAATACAGGTTTGGATCCATAAAAATAAACTTAGCGAGGCTAAATTCTAATCACTTTACATGACTTATCAGTTCAACGATTTGAAAGTCTTGTTTGGTCTGATGGCCCTAATTACAAGCTCTTAAAATTTCAAAGACCTGTTAATATAAACATGGAAAGAATACTTCTCTGGAAAACTTGGATAACTTGTACCTATAAATTAAGCAAAGTGAACAGTGAAAGCACAAAAACGAAACTAAAGTACTTTATACCGAATGCCCTATTTTGTTGTGATTACAAAAAGACAAAAGGACACCTTTTGACGAAATCCTTGAATGTCAAGGGTAGATCTACATTTTCCCAAACCCTTGGGTTTCAAGGATTGCATTGGTCATCATGGCTTGAAACTGTTGTGGGTCCTCAACTCCCCGGGGCAACCATAGTACCATTGCCCAGGTACTGCTTGAGGGCAGCCGTCGAACACCTGTCTCCTGTGAAAAGAACTGGATGTGTAGTTTGTGATTGAAACCCGCAGGTGGGGGTTTCCCTGCTCCAGTCCAGAACTCTAGAATTTTTTCGAGGGTAACTTCATCTTTCTCTTCTGAAAAGGAAAAGAAAAGTCAATGACATGACACAACATGGAAGGGGAGCCCTGCCATCCAAGATGCCTTTTTGGCACACATACATGTACCTATAACAAGTCTGACTATGAACTTCCTGGCTTAATGGGTGACAGTACATCCATAGTTTTTCTTTGGCCGACAGTATCAATTGCAGATTTATTAATGCATATACTACTCTGTAGAGCCTACCTGCACGTTGTAGGAAGAGTTCCCAGCAATATATAGTGTCCTCTCTGTTTCGGTTGTTGGAGCCTTGAGCTGAGTACTCGATGTCATACAGCTTCCTGAAAGAGGGCAATGAAAGTGGCTTGTTGTCCACTACAAACAAGCTGCCAAGTGCCTTGGGGTGACGCCTCATTTCCCCATACAAAGGTCCTAGGCCATCTGTGAACTGCTGAATACAGCTCTGCACGCTATAATGAAGCATTGTACATATTCTCTGCTGAACATGTGCATTGATGTCAGCCATGAACATATGTATTTAGCAAAGTATTACTTTCTGCAGGTCAGCAGTAGGGAATGTGCCGTAAAGATGAAAACTCCAATTTTGGCCACTCCAAAAGTTGAGATTGACTGCAAACAGTTGCATGACTACAAATTTAACACAGGGTATAATTGGTCCTCTGGGAGAATATGGAGGCATTTCAAATTAAAACACTGAATTAAAGCTTAATATATGCCATAAATATACTTATTTTTTCCCATTCGTGACATATTATTGAAAGCTCTTCTGGCATTTGGCATGTCCCTAATTCATCACATGCCCTTAATGTTAAAGTAAGTCTGGTTTTTAAAATCTAATTATGAAACCAATCCCACATTGAAACCTAATTGTCTTTTTCAAAAGTGAAAGGTTTAAAAAGCCTGAAAAATATGAAGATGCCACATAATACACCTCTTTAACATTGAGGTGGATATATGAAGGAAGAATGCATGACTGATTTCCATATTGTCTATATAATACTTCGTACCGATGATAAATGTGGTGCACGAAGAGATCCTTCACCACAGCCTCCTTTTCTTCAAACTGTAGTCGCCAGAGATTGGTGACGCCTTGTCCGATGAGCCACTCACTCAATTCATCAACAAGAGCAGTAAACTCTCCTGTGTTGTGCATGCCAACAGCTGAAACAGGGGCCAAAAAGTGATAAAATCCATTATTGCATTTGCCTGTTTCATGTTTACCATGATAGTTATCAACTGCAGCCTCATAATTCACCACTACTTATGCTTACAAGGAACATTTGTGTATGTTTTCTTTACCTATTACCTGAATGAGAGTTTCGTCATGTAAACTTTATCACGATTTTTGTTTTAAATCGACTTCATGCATTTTATTTCATGATTTATAAATTACACATTGATGGCATTGATGGTTCTATATTTATAGGCGTTTTTCTGGGTGCTGGGTGGGCCCTTCGCAAAAACTTATCCAAATCGGTCGATGAGGGCAGCAGATAAATTTAGGCAAAAGTGTGATGTCATTTGGCGGACTTGACTTTCCAGACAAAAATCCATAGCTCCAGCAAGAAAGTTGATCGGTCAGCGCCAGAATACTACTGTATATTCTCTGCTCTGGCAAGTACTCAGGTACATAGCTCATGCGTGTCAAGTTCGCAACATTTGGTCTTGTTTCAGATGCCCTACTCTGAACACGGGGCAGAGCTATTGGACATAGAATTTGACGCGTTTCGTTCATTTTGTTTTGCATCACATCGTGTACGTGTAATAATTTCTATACTGAATTGTGAATTTTGAAAGAATGCCGATAATCTGTGTTGTAGGTGGCTGTTGTGGCAATTAAAACAATTCCCTGGGAGCAGTTTTGTAGATTCAGAGCAGTATTGTTGTCGATCCTCCTGGTCGCCGCCATGCCCGTGGCCAACAGCCTCGAGTTGCAAAATCTCGTTCTGAGTGTATTGGTTCGAACTGACTAGGCCATATTTCTTGTGCCTCATCAGCTCCTTCAATGTCGTTTTCTTTGTCAAATGGACATGACAACTGATCGCTGTGATCAGAAAAAGCATTAACGCTGGAATTATTGGCGTTTCTACATAATGTACATGTACATGTCTACGCGCCGTTACATAACAGTAAACAGTCTACGGATAAAAGACTCTGTCCTATGGCGTCACGATTCTTGGGAATTTCTTTGGACAACTTTCAATACCTGACAGCTGTTGTAGCTTTTGCTTCCAGAAGGGAGTGAAATAGGGTCATGAAAAACTATTATTTTTAACATATTTCTGCACATTTTGAAATTATTCAGATGTGTTTTCTTGCTATATATATATTTGTTTTATGTGCTGATGCATGTTTTAAAAGAAATCTTCACAGCAAAGATCATCCCCTTTAAGCAGGAGTGTTACTGCTCCAATTAATTGCAAGTTGAATTAAGTTTTGGGGGACACATCTACATGTACTATAAGGTTTATGCTTTGTATAACTTTGATGAAGATCAACAGTTATTACTTGTCACAACAAGATAAATGGTGAATGAAAACACACCAAAGCCAAACTACAAGTACATGGACTACAACGATAAAGTAAAAGATATTGTACAGGTGAGACAAAAAGAATAATCGGGAATATTGTGGAAAAGAATGTTTAAAAAATGGAATTTGAAATATTTAAAATCTATGTATGTACCTTGAGCTTCAATAACACTGGTTCCACCGGAACTTGGCTCCAACTTTGACAGGACAGCCGCAACATCATTGAAAGTTGAATCTTTAAAAAACTAATGATAATATGCAATGTCAGGAAGTAAAGGAGTTTCATCATGTCTAAAAAATATGTTAAAACAGTATATAAACTTCAAAACAACACTTGAAATAACAAAGTGGTAACAGAGAACAAGTCAATAAAAAATGATACATAACAAAATGTTAGACAGTCAAGAGCGTTAAATGACAGGAATTAGGTGGACTTTTGGCATTAACAGTGACTGAAGAGATGCAGGCAATTACATGAGATGACTGCAACTTGATTAGAAGCTACAAGTAAGGTTCTTAAATAACAGTATCTTTCATGAAACAATGGCAAGAATATTACAATCAACAGTTACATGCATGATATATTACAATGTACCTTACTCAGTATGAAAGTTTAGTGCAATTTGGCTGTTGCCATTTCTCATCTCAGGCAAATAATAACACACACAAGCAATAATATCTCCACTCTCTCAAGACTGGCCAAATGCCTTAAATTAACCCTAACCTTCCTTAACCGCACTGAATTTAACACCAGTAAAGTGTGTGAGTTTGTGGCATTGGGTACTGGTAGCTTAATATCTGGGGCTTAATTCTGTGTCAATGGGTACTGCGGGCCTGCACATATCCTGTCGAATTTTGACTGAATGGGCACTTTGGCCCTCTCCCTTTTTACCATCGCTTTCTAACCAACAATTTAAAATGAGTACTATATTTTTAAAGATTAACTAATGATAGAAATCTCCCCATCGAAATGGTAAGAATGTAATATTTAATATTCTGTAATAATGACCATAACAAGGACAATCCTCATTGTATCTGACCACAATGATCCCAGCAGCAAGGGATGGATATGCAATATGATGGTGTATGAGTTTGTTGGAATAGGTACTGCCTGTCCATACTCTTTGTACTGTGCAATGGGCCTGCTGTTCCCAATCAAACAAAATCACGCACGTAAAGACCTGTTGAAGTTTGTGTGATTGGGTACTGTTGCAGCAGGAGGTACTGTTGAAGTCTATGGGATTGGGTGCTGTGAGGTACATGTTACATGGTGTTGAAGTTTGTGTGATTGAGGAAGGTTAGGTCCAGCAACCCTTGGGTGGTTAGGGTTGAAGTAGTTTTCACACAAGCCATAAAATAACAAGAAATGCACAAACCAGCAACAGTGCTGTGAGTACCAGAAACACGGCAGTGCTTGAGGAATGCATGAAGTCCACTTTGTGTATTTGTCTTCTCCACTGCCTCACAGTGAGGAGAACAGAATGCCTGTCCATGAACAGGAGGATTGGTGCAGACATCAGGAAGGCCTGGGATCGGTACTTTTGAAGATGGACTCTACAGTAAACCAGTAAAGAAAAACAAACATGAAAAACGTGCAGAGGGCCATATTTTAACTTGTGATCTGCAAGAATTGAAGGCCACAAACAAGTGGGATGCAATAAAATAGCACTTGTATTAACAATTTACAGGTGTAGGTTTAAATTTAAACCCAACTGACCACAACATCAGTTACAGTCCAAAGTATTTATCTAAAATTAATTACCAAAAAAACAAAGAAAACTACCCAAAGTACTGATGAAAAGTTTTCATGCCTGTCAATATACAAAGGCACGGGTTCTTTGACGTTTTACTCTTCCACTAAAATTAAATTATTGATAGCAAGTAAAGAAAAGCTTCTAGGGGTACAAATAAATTCCACAAAGAAAATCACATCCAAGAAACTGCTGTTAACATGGTAACTGTACCTTGACTTGAGCATACAATGAGGAAATCGCAATTCCAGATCTCATCAATAGCAAACACACGTCCACAACCTGTTGGAACAATAAAGTGGAGAGGAGAACTCGTTAAAATTTACATGAGCACTAAAAATGTCAACAAACACGAAAGAACAAAAACATGTGACGAGGGAATCTAATCATACAGAATAGTTTTCTTCAGAAAGTATCAGTAGCTACAACTTGAAAAACGTTTAATACTACTTGGATATGTTGTTAGTGATGTCGTTAATTAATGGCAATTTTTAGTAGGCACTTTATAGGTTTAATGCATACAGACGTGATGAAATTAGAAGCTAAAGAGATTAAGAGCATGCAAATTTGTTCAGTATTGTTATCTAGCAATACCGTGATCTGTTGTTTTAAGTTTACTACACAAAATAAGTAAATGTAGGTTTTGTTGACCTTCAGTGACATCTATTCACAAGAATAAATACTCAGTGTTCAAAAGCATAATTAGGTGAAACTCAAACCCATGACCTCCTGCTTACCGATGCACTTTTCTAGACAGTGTGCATTACCAGCTGTTGGACTGAATATGTATTTCCAATCCAAAAACCCCTACATGTAAATGTATTTGACATCTCCCCAATGCAGGGTCTATCTTTCCAGTAACATTACACATGTACATGTATACATGTACATGTACCATAAATAATTGGCATGCTTGCTCTAAACAAGTTCCATCAGTGACATCTTCCATAAAATTGCAAACATGAACCTTCGGTTGTTGTTACAGACAGAATTTGGACTTGTAACAAGTTTCATTATTAGCCTTGTGGGCACTGTAATTTGTTGCCTGAGGGCGCTACAAGTTTGTTCCCTGAGGATGCTATACGTTGGTTGCCTGGGTTCACTGTCATTTGGGGTGTGGTCATTAGGCATGCAAGACTACATCCATTGTACATATACTTTAGTCACTGCTGTTGGCAGGCATATTTGACCATTTCTAATATACCTTGCTACTCCCATGTGTATGTAGACACACATACAAGTAATTTGCCAACAGATGGACATCCTTGGAAGCTCAGCAAAAGTAAGTTTGTCATTATCTTTTTATTGTAATAGATTTTACATTTTGAAGAACATTTAGATAATATTTGCAATTGCAGTTTAACATTGTGAGGGATTCCCTAGGCCTTATTGACATGTACATGCAATCGTCTTCATCACTGATTGATAGATTTGGAAAGAGTTCCATATGGTGAGTTTATGTGATGCCCTGTGTACAAGCCCTATCAGACTGGTCTGAGAGATTGCTTTCTAAGAAGGTGTTTATTTTTCTCACTGCTAAAGTTGACCTTTAATTATGAACTGTGATTGCTAGTTGGAGGTTGGTAATTCACTACAAGGGAAAATTAGTGAACATCTTGAGTCTTGCTGTAGATACTGTATGTATATATATATATATATATATATAATTGTAACACAAGACTCAGAAACATTTTTTCCTTTATTCTTAGTTGAACCATGTGTGCATCCTTGACACATCATTGAAATTACACCTTGTGACACCAGTCATACCATTGTGGGTGAAATTAAACAGGACAACTGAAGCATGAGTATCAACTGAGCTATAACGCTGTTTGTTTACTGTAACTTTGGCGGTTACAGTTGTGATCATATGAAGAAAAACATTTCAAAAAGGAGATGTCAAAAACATAACACCACCAGTTATCAGTTACCTGTGGAGGATTGAGAAGGGTTTTCACCCAAGTAAAGCTAAAGTAAGAAAAAAGGGCAAATGCTACTAGCAACAGACTTTTGGAAAGGGAAAATTTGAGCGTAAGCATGACCCCCATACGAAACGGCCTTCATTTTCTGTAGAATTCTTTATGAAGCACAAGGGTGCTGGCAGTTTCATTAAATGACTATAAGTAGAGTTATTCCAGGACACTTGTTGGCAAGGAAAAACAGAAGAATCCAACCAGAAAGTGATTTAAAAACATTTGAAATCAGCAATGGACTTTCATGTATTCAGTCCAACAGATAATTGCACACCATCTGAAAAGCTCTTCCACATACATGAATGCACAGTTCCACTCTCCCCTCCCACAAAATAAATGTCCACAAAAGACATAAATGCAATCCTAAGCCACCGATGCACTGATGATGCATTCTTTTAACTACCCTTCATCTGGTAACATTAAAAGCATACACAAACAACTGTTTCCAACTTCAATAATAACATTGATTACATTTGGCCGTGCAATTTGCATGACAGCTGCGATGCTCATAAGGCTCCTTTATCCTCACCTTTTCAACTTCAGCAAGAACTTTATCTTTGTCCATGTCAACTTTCACCATGTGGAACATGTCCAGATGGCCACGTTCTCGCATTTCGTTCTCCAACTCGCCATTGAAGAATGCAGAAGACACATTCTTTGCAGAGAGACCTTTGATGTAAATTTTACAACAGCAATGATTACTTGCTTACAACATGGCACCGCGACTAAATCGTAATTGTCGAAACAATTGACAAAGTTTTTTATTCAATGTACATGTATATTGCTTAGGTATTCCTTCTTGTACCTGTGTGTCCTGTCAATTTGAAGGTACCATTATAGGACTCAGAAAATCCAGTAAAGCTGACCCATGAGTGGTTCCTGTTAAAAATATAGAAAACAAAATATTGTTTATCTAACGGAGGGAGGCGGGTATCATACACAGTCCACATTGGTTGGTGACGTATACATGTACACGTATAGGATAGAGTCATGACACGACTTATGGAAAACATGTTCACAATATTAAANCCAAATTCCAAACATACATATACATGTATAATGAGGCTGTTCTGCCCCACCTACATATACAGCATCAGCCCCAACTACCTACAATGTACATGTATAGTTTGGCCCGTCCAACCTACATGTACATATAGATTGCTAAAGTAATGGAAGCCAAACTACAACACAGAGGTCTAGAGAGCATGTACATGTATGTGTTAACGCCCCAATTATAGCATCAGTCCCAACTATTGTTGGGCCCGTCCCAACTAAAGTGCTTCAGTTGGGCCAGCCCAACTATAGCAGAGAGGTCCTGTGTGCATGATGTGCCCAGCATGTGCCAAAGTCATATTGTTTACAAATGTCATGTCATTGGTCATAGGGCTAGATGAACAGATGAAGTGCCACATTTTAGATGAATTGTGTCAAGTGTTAGACACGTTGACTTGCATAATGTTGCGGCATTTTCCACAGACATTGTTCAACAAGAGTTTGGCCAGCCCAATTGCAGCACTACAGTTGGGACTTATGCTATAGTTGTGGTGTTACATATGTATGTGCCCAGCATGTGCCAAAGTCATATTGCTTACAATGTTATTGCACAAATTGAGCCTCCTTCTGTAACAGTCAAAACCAGTCAAAAATTCCTGCCACTTGATTTGCCTCAGTACACAAACCCATATTGGAAATTTGACTGGTTTTGACGGATGTGACAACTGTGTCAAGAATGTATCTCTGCATAGAAGGGTTATGTGCCATATTTGAGATGAATGGTGTCAGTTTTGAGCATAAACGTGGCTAAGGTTGAGAAATTTTCTACAGAGACTGAATAAGCCAGCCCCACTGCAGACCTACAGTTGGGACTCTCTCTCCTAACTATGCTTGGGATGTGACAACACTGATTTTAAACAAACTCAGAGAATAAAAGTCCAGCTACTTCACTGAATGCCGTTGAGGTTTCTATAAATTAGCTATTCTAGCTCTCTCCAGCTTGTACATGTTTTCTCAAGCTCAACTCATGGGGCAAATTGGAAATTGTGTGAAGATGGGATGGCCAGTGTTGTTAGGGGCATGAAAGGAGAAAAGTGGAAATGGGGCAAAGTTACTGCATAGCATCTACCATTCATACATGTAGGCTTAACTGCTAACATAAATTCTTCAAAGTAAGTTGTAACATAAGGAAAATATACGCAAGATTACACTGCAATTCCAATGGTCTCCTCTCAAGGAAGACACAATCTGTAGCTTCCACTGCCTTCCTTGGCTGGNGTTTGTACATGTACATGAGTTCCACACATACAGACCCTTTGATAATCTACCCAAATTCCAAACATATAATGAGGCTGCTATGCCCCACCTACATGTACATATACAGCATCAGCCCCAACTACCTACAATGTACATGTATAGTTTGGCCCGTCCAACCTACATGTACATATAGATTGCTAAAGTAATGGAAGCCAAACTACAACACAGAGGTCTAGAGAGCATGTACATGTATGTGTTAACGCCCCAATTATAGCATCAGTCCCAACTATTGTTGGGCCCGTCCCAACTAAAGTGCTACAGTTGGGCCAGCCCAACTATAGCAGAGAGGTCCTGTGTGCATGATGTGTCCAGCATGTGCCAAAGTCATATTGTTTACAAATGTCATGTCATTGGTCATAGGGCTAGATGAACAGATGAAGTGCCACATTTTAGATGAATTGTGTCAAGTGTTAGACACGTTGACTTGCATAATGTTGCGGCATTTTCCACAGACATTGTTCAACAAGAGTTGGGCCAGCCCAATTGCAGCACTACAGTTGGGACTCTCTCTCCTAACTATGCTTGGGATGTGACAAGACTGATTTTAAACAAACTCAGAGAATAAAAGTCCAGCTACTTCACTGAATGCCGTTGAGGTTTCTATAAATTAGCTATTCTAGCTCTCTCCAGCTTGCACATGTTTTCTCAAGCTCAACTGATGGGGCAAATTCGAAATTGTGTGAAGATGGGATGGCCAGTGTTGTTAGGGGCATGAAAGGAGAAAAGTGGAAATGGGGCAAAGTTACTGCATAGCATCTACCATTCATACATGTAGGCTTAACTGCTAACATAAATTCTTCAAAGTAAGTTGTAACATAAGGAAAATATACGCAAGATTACACTGCAATTCCAATGGTCTCCTCTCAAGGAAGAGACAATCTGTAGCTTCCACTGCCTCCCTTGGCTGACCATATAATGACCAACTTGTTTTGGCATTCCCGTACACACTGTGCTTGTATATAATGTCACACTTCTTGCACCATACCGACAGCTTCTTTCCCTCTTTCAGACCTTCAACTGTGAAGACCTTCACCTCCACAAATTTGCGGTGCAGCCACAGTTTGTTAAAACAAAATAAACAATTGCCACAGGGAGGAAGCAGCAATACAGACTGAATTTTTTCCAGTTCCTGAGGATGGTCCACTGCTTGGGCTTGGTAAAAGTGATGAAATGTTCAACTTCAAAAGGATGCCACAAAGCTCCAAAGGTACACCAAGACCTTCGCTTACCACATCTGCTGAGAATTGATTCAGTGCTTGTTCTTTGGCACTTCCAACAAGCAGAGCACACTCTTCAATCCAAACTTGGAAACCAGTATACCAAGTTTTTCGTCATCAGAGAGTGGGCCTAATAATGAATTCAAAGAATTCAAGTCTGAACTTAGACAGTGAATCTTTGAAAGCGTTGATGGTCTCTACACTTTCCTGTTCCTCTTTAAGTAGGATGTCTCCCAATATTTACACGCTTTTTTAGACATTATGCGTTGCCGTGGTCGAAAGTGTGGGGAAACGGGTAGAAACAGATGGTAAATACGGCATAAAATTGAAAATTCAGCACAAAGTAACAGAGAGAAACTCGCAAGTCAAGAATGGCTTTGGTGAAACACGTGGCATGGCATATTGCAAAGAGTGGTCTGGTACCTTAATCTGCAAATATAGTTCCATATATCAGTGCTGCGCAAAGGTGCTGACCATTCGTTGGTACACAGTTTTGTAATATGATTAATACAGACAGCCCAGGATACCAGTCGTGTAGGGTCTGTAGCTCTACAGATAACAGGCACGAATAATGCAGGCCCCATATCCGGCTGCATTTGGTGATTCAATTAAGTGGTTATCTTTTGCCAAACTCGGGTTGGAAATTTGAAGTTTTCCTGCTTAATATCTTGTCAAAGTTTACCTAAACAAGTACATTTATTTGTCCATAGGTGCATGGCAGCCTCGGTATGGGCAGTTAGAATGTTAACCGTGTCTTCGGATCTGTTTCTGCTACATGTATGTAGACAAAAGTAGTCACAAAATTATATGTTTAGCTGATAAGGTTAGTGCACAAACGCTGAGAAGGTTATTGTTCCATAGTACACAAACAAATTTATTAATTGAGAATTTAAATAGAAATCAGTTTAATTTGTTGCAACAGAATTACTTAGTTTCTGTAAGGAACAGAAGGAGACCATAACATAAAAATATGCAGTCCTAACACTCCATGCCCTTGGTCGCTGATTTCACCTTCACTCTGTAGTCGTTGAGTATGGTCAAACTGTTCTCTGTGATGGTTTTGCCGAGACTGATCAGAGAGGGTAGAGTATGGCCGCCTCGTCTTCGATGCGACTTCGCTCCAGCTCAGCATGACTCTGAAAACAGCCACTCTTTCTGCTGGTTCTGATGAAGGGGATCATGACAGCCCGTGGCATTGCTCTAGAAAACAGACTACATGTACATGTATGTCAGGTGTGCTGAATAGGCACTCTTTTTACAACCATGTTTTGGGAAATTGTTGTTTATACAGCCTTGAATAAAAGACACAGCCAATAAACAGATTCAACGTGTTTGACGTTTGACGGAAAAACAGCACCTACATTACTTGTTTGAATGAAGTTGTGAGATTCAACAAAAAGTTTGACCATTCTTGTTGACTGGACTGGATGGATGACCGTTTACAGGCTCCTTGAATCAATGAATATTGAACTTCTTTTACAATTTTTGAAAATCTGGGGTCCGACACAAAATGGTTGTACCATACTGTGACTGTTCATTTGTGAAGTATGCACAACTGTCTTTAAATACCTGAAGATATATTAACTGATTAATTTTCCTCTATCTTCATTGACAATCAAATGGGGTTCAAGTTTTACTCCCAGTGACCTACAAGTCCAATCCAAACTGACCATGGATTTGGATCTTGTGAAATCTAAAATGGATGACATACAGGCACCAGTCG